GGGCCCCGCCCCACGCGGGCCGCCGCACTCACGTGGTCCTGCTCGTACTCGAGGATGGCGGCGTAGAGCGCGCGCTGCTCGCGCTCCTCCGGGGTCAGGGCGACCTGACTGCAGAACCTCCTGGGGAGCAAGGGCGAGGTGGGCCCCGGGCCGGACCTGGGGCGCGGGCGGGGCCCTACCAGGCCTCCCGGCTGCCCGGGCGGCCGCAGACGCACCTGTTGGCGGCCTCCTGCAGCCGCAGCCGGCGCTCCTCCATCTTGCGCTGGAGCTGGGCGGCAGAGTCAAGGGGCGCAGAGAGTGAGCCGCGCGGCCTCCGCCCTGCCCGTCCCCGGCCGCCTCGCGGCCCTGCGCCCCCGGGAGCCCGGCCTGCGGCACGGGGCGCAGCGGGCGAGCAGGGCTGGGAGGACGGGCCCGTCTCGGGAAGGGGCTTCCCGGGGAAGGCTCCTGGGGGCGGCACAGCTTAGCGGCAAGGCTCGGGCCGTGCCGGAGAAGGCCGGGGCCCAGGGCGGCGGGCAGCCGGCTCGGCGGCCGGGGGAGCAGACGAGGGCCTGGGAGCTGCGGGTGAGGGGCCACCCCTCTAAGGCCTGAGGGTTCTCATTGCTACGCTCCAACCCTGGCACCTCTGCTCCCCCACGCCGCCCACTTCTCTGCCTTAGCTCAAGGCCACGCTGTGAGTTTTCCCTCAGGGGCCACCAGGATGATCAGAAAGGATGCCGTCTCCTCCCGGGCTTTGGCGATCACCAGGTTCTCCATCATCTGCCTCTGCAGAGACAGGGTCTAGGAGAGGACGGAGTGAGGCATACTCCAGAACCCCCAACCCGACCCTTCCCGACCAACCCCAGACCGTCCCTGGGCCCCACTCACCAGGGATGTCTTCTGCATGGCCTGGCTGGGGTCTAGACGCGCCATCCGGGCCTCATATGCAGCCTTCAGCTTCTGGTTCTGCAGCGAGGCCTCCTCCAGTGGCGTCAGCTCTCTGGAAATGGGGACAAGCTGCCGTCCAGGCCCCAGGAAGCCCAGGGGTGCTCTGGTGACCTGGGCAGCCTCCCTCTCATCCCTCCGGACCCTCTCTGGTGCTGATGGGGGCAGGCAGGACACGGAGAGGGAGTGGCCTGGAGATCCCTGCCCCTGCGAACCTGCGCTGCTGAAACACAGGCCTTTGTGTTGCCGGGACTTTTGACTTTTCAAGAAAAGCATCCAGCTTTTCTTGAAGGGCCACTGGACTTTTATGAAGACCAGTTATATATGTTTGGCAATGACGTGAAACTTATGAAAGGTATCGTGTGGGCCAAACAGCTAGACTGGATTTCCTCCAACCCAGGAAGGGACGAAGTATGTCTCTACTTTAGGACAACTGCCAATAGCCATTCCAGCTTGGAAGCTTTTGGTTTGACGTATCTTCCTGCTGTCAGGAGTGGCAGAGTATAGGTTGTGGGAAAACAAGACTGAGGAGAAGTCTGTCCTGGGACTGAAGTCCTGTGCCTGGCCCTGCCCTGAAGCTGCACATGCAGAAACCAGGTGACTGGGAAGCCGGAAGGAGCTCAGGAGGCCCAGCCACAGCAGGGCCAGGAGGGGCGGGTCCTTCCTGTGTATCCCACTTGGGACTCACTGGGCATCCTGCATCTGTGTCTTGGTGTGTTTCATCAGTTCTGAAAATTACCTGCCATTATCTCTTCAAATATTGCCTCCCCTCCCATTTTCTTTCTCCTCTCTTTCTGGAACTCCAATTACCTTATGTTAGCCCTTCCATCTCTCACATTGTCTTTTTTTAAAATGCCCCTTCCCACCCTATCGCTCATATGTTTTCTGTCTTCATTTCTTTTTTGTTTCTGTGACACATGTGTGGGTATCTTGATCTTTTTTCCAATTCACTAATCTTCTCTTTGGCTATGTCTGCTCTGCTGTTATAAACTTGTGTATTCGCTTTTGTGTGTTTGTGTGGCTTTTTACTGGAAGATATAATTTATTCTTGTTCCCAACTAGTATTTAAAAATAACTTTAGTATTATAGTCTTTGTTTCACTTTTACTTAGTTCTTTATTAAATAGGTCAGATTTTATAGTTTCTTGTTCCCTTTAGATGTTTTCAGACTAGCTCTTTGTTTCTATAAACATAGCTACACCTTGGTATGCACAGAGGACTGATTACAGAAACATCCCCCACCCCTGGGATACTAAAATCCACGGATGCTGACGTCTCTTACGTAAAATGGCAAAGCATTTGCATATAACCTGCACACACCCTACTGTATACTTTAAACCAGCTGTAGGTTACTTATAATTCCTCATACTATGTAAATGGTATGTAAATAATAGTTGTTATGCTGTATTGTTTATTTTGTTTTTGTTTTTTTCCGACTATTTTCAATCTGCAGTTGGTTGAATCTGTGGATGTGGACCTCATGGATACAGAGGACCGACCGTATATATTTCATCTGTGGCTGGTAACTCTGAAGACCTTGCAGGTCTGTTTCTGCTATCGTTCCCTCCTAGTTTCTGGTTTCCTTTTGTGCCTGATTACCTTCGACTCTGTGCCACTTAGTTTATGAAGGAGGAAGGTGCTTTCCTCCAAAGAGAATTTGGATTTGCTTCTGCCAGGCAAAAGGGTATTCCATTCTGGGACCCATTTTAACTAAATTTCCCACTATCGGCTCACCTTCCTGGGCCTCTAAACCTAATCCCAGACTCAGCCCACCTCCCATCTTGGCCCATCTTACTTCTTAGAGCTTTGTGACTCTACCACCTGAAGCTTCTGGAAGATCTCAGGTGGCAGAAAAGGAGAGAGCTTCCCTCCTTCATCTGAATACACCCGACGGTGTCGGCTGGTGGGTGAGGGGACTGGAGCAGCCACGGGCACGGCTGGCTTCAGGCGTGTTTTCCCTGCAAGCCATACAAAGCCAGGGGTCAGCAGGGTGGGCTCACATCCCACCAAGGAGATGCGGACCTGGGAGATGCCCCAGAACTGCCTCTTACGGGAGACCCACCAAGCTTGGCGGCTGTGGACTGGGCCCTCTCCAGACACTGCTCCGCCAGCTTCAGCATCTTTGAGGTGTCAGAGAGCACAGTTTCCCCAGCTTCTGGGAAAGGGACAAGAAGAGCGGTCACAGCTCTGTACTCATCAGGTACTTGCTGAGATACAAACGAGAAAGTGGAAAAGCTGGGCAGACCTACCCTTCACTCACCGCTGACCCCGGGCAAGGCCACCTGTCCTCAGTCCCCTCTGATCACTTGCCCAGGGTTCACCGTGTGACCCCGCACAGGCTCTGTGCTTGGGCAGCCCAGCTTCAGACCGACCCTGTGCCCCTCATCCGGGGCCTAACTTACACTGGGCCTTTACTCCTCACTGAGGCTTCACTTGCAACCACAGCCCCCGGGAGGCAGGCCACACGGCCCCCACGGGCCACTTCATAGAGACAAGGACAAGCTGAGGGGCTCTCAACTGCCCATCTCCTGCCATGTATACGCACAGACCTGCCTTCCCGTTGGCTCCACGTCAACCTCAGCCTTTGCTGGACCCACACTGCCTGCTCACCAGAGCCTTCTGCTCTCCTGTCCCTCCGGATCTCCCCTGTCAGCAGACACCTGTAGGAGCTGCCACTGTGTCACTCTCCCTGGCCTCCACCAGCCCAGCTCCTGACCCACTTCCCGACCCCTTTACAGCAAACCCGTCTCAGACTCCCATTTTCTTCTCATGCCACACCCAGTTTTAGCCCATGACTCCCCCACCAAACTGCCCTTGCACACCCCACCTTGCCAAACATGGTGGGCCATTCAGGTTCCTGTGTCCTCTGCCACCTCCTCCTCCCACCTTACCAATCTGGGAGTGCCAGAGTTCAGCTGAGCTCACTGGCTCCCCAGGGCACTGAGGCAACCACTAGCTCTGTCTCCCTGACCTCTGCGTCCCACAGGCTGCTTGCCCCCAAACTTAATGTGCTCACCGTGGAACTTTCTATTCCTCCCCTTACAAGTCTGCACCTGCCCTGTCTCCCCCAGCAAGTCTAGTCCGTTCCACCTGCAGGGTGCATCCCCAGGCCCTTCACTCCTCCCACCTCTGCTCCCACACTGGCCTCTCCCACAAAGTTCAAAGCCTCTTTGAGCTTCCCTTCATACCAAAACGACCCCAGTTCTACCAAAGGTGCACCAAGCCCTGCCCCACCCAACCCTCCTCAGGGCCTTTACACGTCCTTCTGTTGGGGGTGCTGCCCCACCCTTGTGCAGCTCACTGGCGCCAGTGTCTTGCCCCACCCCAATCTCCATCCCCTTACCCACAGCACTGGCCCCTTCCTGCCACCATGTCACACGGTGACAGCTCACAGTCACTGAGTGCTCACCACCTGCTAGTGACCAGGATGGAAGGGTGCAGGAGACACACCACGCTTGGGACCCACTGGGGACTAAGCTGCCCACGATTTGCCCAGCATGGAAAGAGCAGCGAGGCTGAGCTGTACCTTTAGTCGTTTCCACCTCTTCCAGTAACACCTGGGAAATGTAGTGAATGCTCCTCAGGTATTCCATATATGCCTCCTGTGTCCAGGAAAGAGAAATGGCAGGGATCAGGCTGGGATAGGGTATTGACTCTTGCTATGCCTGCCTGGTGCCCTCATGGGAAGTACGGCAACCATGGTGTTTATCTCTGAGACACACCCAAGGGACATGAGTCTGCAGTGTGGTCAGCTTGTTATCCCTCCAAGGTTTAATCAGTGGTGTTCTGCCCAGGACACAGACAGGATCCCCACCCTCCAGACTGGAAGGAAAAGATGTCAGCACCCGAGAGTGATTTCAACACACTTCTTCCTACAACTTCTGCATTAGGCAGTGAGAGCTGGGGACCAGCCGGCCATCGACCTCTCCTCTCCCTGCCTGTCTCTCCTGTGCAGGAAGGAACTGACGTTCTCTTTCAGGGGGGCTAGGGAGGCAGCTTCAGCAGCACTCCATGCAACACTTTCCTTCCTGTGCAGCTCCAGGGCCACTCAGTGGCTTAGAAAGATCTTCCCTGACAGGTTAGAAAGGGAGTGATGTCGCAAATCCTAGAATCGTGCAGGGAAATCCCTTTCCTAGAACCCAAAGGAAGTGTTCCTTGTGCACACAGAGCCCAGTACACATGGATGCTGCCAGTTCCGAGGGACGGTGCGAGTGCCCCGTCCAGGGCGCTCTGACAGAGCACAGGGCATCAGGAACTGTAACAGCACAGTGTTTGTTTTATCCCAGCGGTAAAATTACCCACCTTTCATTAAGTCTACATCGCAGAGATAAGACAGAGCAGACTCCAGGCAGGATTTCTGACGTGTGGGGGCACCTGCTGCCCCAGAAAAACAACTTGGGGAAAGCAGCGGACTCGGGAACTAGGATGCTTTTCCTAGGCACAGGCAGACTCCTCCCCTCCTTGGGTAGCCCAGTGTGGCTCAGCCGGCTTTTCTACCTGACCCCCCTTTGAGTTAGCGCCCATTCTCAGGAACAAGCCACACCCTCCCCTGCCTGCCCTTCCTTCCAGACACTCCGAAGGCGACTGCAAACAGCCACATCATGAATGGGCGGGCAGTAGCCTTTTCTGGATTCCATACCGTGTGGCAACCTGATTAAATCCACAGGGTTTCTGCCCAGAAAAATATACATAAGCATGGAATTATTTGCCACATATATTTTGGAGGGTTGCTTCACAGACCTTCCTGAATCCCCAGTGCAAATAAAATGTCGGCTCTAATTCACCGACTGAACAGACAGGGAAACTGAGGCCAGGAGAGTGCTGTGAGCTGTCCAAGGTCACACTGCAGTCTCCGGAGCCCCGCGCCAACCGTGCCTCCCGCCTTCGTCCCAGGCCCCAGGAACTGCCGGTGAGGAGCCCTGGGTGGGCGCCCGGCCCGGTCCTCGCCCACCCGGCCTGCCGCTGGGCTGGGGTCCCTTCTGGAGCCGCTGCGGCGGCCACGCCCTGCCCCCGCCTCGCCTCACCCGGGGCCGGTTGCCCGTGTCCAGCTCGATGGCCCCGTTGGCCAGCTTCATGGCGCTCTGCAGCGGCTTCACCGCTCCGTCCCCGGCCGCAGCGGCCATGGCGCCGGGCGGGGGAGGCGGCGGCAGCAGAGGGCCAGGGCGGGGCGGGCGCCCGAGAGCCCGGAACGTAACCTGCGTGGGCGCGGGAGCCGCCGAGCCGCGGACCGGCGGAAGTGGCCTGGACGCACTTCCGGCGTCCGGACCCCGCCAACCTGGGCCGCAGCAGGTAGAAGCGGCGGGGCAGCGGAGCGCCGGCAGGTGCTGTCACTGACTGGGGCGGGCCTGTCGCAGAGCGGGTGGCGGAGGAAGCTCCTCGCGTAGTTGCCGTGAGCGTCTCTCTACGCGCGAGCCCGGTTACGCTCTCGGCAGCGCGCTCCGGCGCCTGCGCGCTGTGGCCTAGGCCGGCGCTGCCCGCCGCGCGCCGCAGTTTCCCCTCGGGAGAGGCAGGTCCCGGCGGGCTCGTCCGTCCCGCGACCCGCACAGCGCCCGCAGCGGGGGTAGCGGGCACTGTCGCGGGCGGGGCGGAGCGGGGAGCGGTCCGGGCAGCACTGGCGCCGGCGTCCGGGTCGCGCGCCTTGCCGGCTCCGCTCCCCGCTGCCCTCCTGCTCCGCTCTGCTTCCAACGCGCCAAGCGGAGCCAGACAGCGGCGGGGCCGAGCGGGGCCGAGCAGTACCCGGCCGGCCTTGAGTGGCGGCCGCCGCCATGAAGCGGGACCGACTCGGCCGCTTCTTATCGCCTGGGGCAGCCCGGCAGCGCGGAGGCTCGGGCAGCGGTGGCTGTGGTGGCGGCCGGCCTCGAGGCCGCCCCTCCCGCGGCGGCGGGCAGAGCGTGGAGGGGGCGGCGGCCTTGGTGGCGGCGGCGCGGCTGGATTGGGACCCGGCGCGGGCCTGCGCGGACGTGGGCGAAGACGGCGCCGACGAGCCAGGTGCGTCCGGCCGGTGTGGGGGTCCAGTCGTGACGGGGGCGGCGCTGGGGTCGCGACCGAGGCTCTGGATGGGCGGAGCCACCGCCCCAGCCCCGGGTGACCGCGTCCCCAGGGCCGCCTTCTCCTCCCCCGCCGCATTAGGCCTCCCAGCTCGAAGGAGGCCTCTTGGGCCACGAGAGCTGTCGCACTGCTCCTCTGGCTTCTGTGGCAGCTGCGTGGGGGTGACCTTTGGCAAGACAGCCAACGCTTCGGTGCCCAATTCTCTAAGCTTGTTCGGGACTTAGTGCTCAAGTTTTAGAGTCAGACGGGTTTGGGCTTCTGTCCTGGTCTTGCTTCGTGTTCTGCAGCACTGAGATTGCCTAATCTCCCTGAACCTCAAGTTTTCTCTAGAGTAAAACAGACCCCAAGGGTGTCCTCAGAACTGCTTGGTCCCCACCTGGCAGCTGGTGAAGGGTGGTGACAACAGTGCACTTTTCAGGATGCTTTTTGCTCTCCGAGGTTGCCTTGTGCATGCTTTCGTTTACCCCTCTGGGGGCAGGAAAGGAGGTGGCATCACCCACACTTGGCCGACAGGAAACCCGAGTTGTTTCCTCGAAGGCACGGTATGGACACAGCTGAGGAGAAACGCAGTTCCCTGCTTCATCTGTGAACGTCCACAGCTGTGGGGGCATTCAGAGCTCCCTGAAAGGTTTCTTGGATTAGCCAAGAAATTAGCCTCCATTAGCCACGTCCTCCAAAAGGCTGAGTGTTCCGCCGGAAGCCCAGCGCCCAGCCTGCCTCTGGTGTGTCTGCGGAGGCCCCGTGGAGGGCGCTTCTCCACCGCAGGCGCTGGAGGCTGGACGATGGCGCTCACCTCCTTAGAACTTGCGCCTCTGATGTCCGTCCTCACCGCGGCCTCCCAGGCTGACTGCTGCTGCCTCCTGTTGCTTTGCCCAGGAACAGGCCGGGCTCTGGCCATGGCGCACTGTCGCCTCTGCCACGGGAAGTTCTCCTCAAGGAGTCTCCGAAGCATCTTTGACAGGGCACCTGGGGAGCACCCGGAAAGACCATCCCCAGGGGAGCGCGTCTTCCTCAGGGACTTCCAGTGCCTGCTGGGGGTGGCCGTTCACCAGGACCCAGCTCTGTCTCAGTTTGTCTGCAAGAACTGCCACGCCCAGTTCTACCAGTGCCACGGCCTCCTCAAGTCCTTTCTGCAGAGAGTCAACATCTCCCCGACAGGACATTGGAAGCCTTGTGCAAAGTAGGCTCTTGTTTTTGTTCAGGGCACGTCCAAGGGTTCAGCACCCCTATGTGCTGGGTGGTGTTCGAGGGACAGGGAGTACTTTGGGAGGAGCCTCTGGGGTTGGGGCGTGGACTGTGATAAGCACCTGTGGGACTGGTGCAAGGCAGGCGAACAGGGAGGTGCTGGCGTGGGCAGGTGTATGTAGGTCTCTGAGGGCGAGGGGCAGTGCCTGGAAGGGAAGAGGAAAGGGTTCCCAGGAAGGACTCATGGGTGGAGGCAGAGGTGAGGTTTGAGACCTCAAGAGGCTTCTGTACACGGAGCAGTGTGAACCCCAGGCTGCCCGTCCTGCTCATGGCCACGCTGATTCTTTGCAGGGCCGGCGCCCAGCCCCCCACGGGGGTGGAGGAGGGAGCGTGTCTGGGTGAGTCTGCCCCTGGTGCGAGGGTGGGCTCTGGAGGTTGGGCTGGTACTGACCAGCCTTGGCGCTGACGTCTCTGTTGACTCTTCTCAGTGGATCTGATCACTTCGAGCCCTCAGTGTCTGCACGGCTTGGTGGGGTGGGTGCACGGACACGCGGCCACCTGCAGGGCCCTGCCCAGCCTTCAGAGGACACTGTCCTCTGAGTACTGCGGCGTCATCCAGGCTGTGTGGGGCTGCGACCAGGGCCACGACTACGCCATGGACACCGACTCCAGCTGCAGGGCCTTCTTGCTGGACAGCGCGTTGGCGGTCAAGTGGGCATGGGACAAGGAGACGGCACCGCGGCTCACCGAGGACCGGGGGTCTGACCCCACTGGGGCTGCCCCTCAGATCTCCCAGGGCAGAGGGACGGGCACCACGGCTGGGGCTGAGACCAAGATCCTGCCTAGCACGGATGCGGCCCAGCCTCCTTCAGACGGCAGTCCTGTGCGGCCTGGGCCAGGCTCCCCACCTCAGCCAGGCCCACCCCTCGGCGGGGCCCCAGGTAGGAGGCACGTCTGGCTTGCGCCGGACCAGGATTCTGTATTGCTGAGCGGGACAGGGTTTTGGCAGTAGGCGAATGTTCCCACCATTATGGGTAGTGGTCGCAGTGTGGTCTGAGAGGAGCCGACGGAAATGGCTGGAGCCTGCGGCTGCTCACCACACCGCAGAGCTCGGGGAGGGACCGCCAGCCTATCCGGGCCTCTTGTTCCTGCAGAGGCAGGACCTGTCAGCAGTTTCTGTGCAGACATGCTCATCGGGCATCCAGTCTTCCTCTAAGCCTGTGCACTGTCGTTCCTGTGGGCCCAGGGGACTGAGGGGAGAGGAGAGTGGGGCCCTTGTGTGTGGGACATGGGGGAAGAGAATGGCTGTGGCCTCTGCAGCTGCTGCTCTGGGCCAGCTGCCTGGTGACACCCTGTTGGCGCCAGTGCGGACTGGTCTTTTCTGCTTACAGGCAGAGGGGAAACACAGGGCCCTTGTTTGGGGCCTAGACCCCACAGCGCTGTGGTTGGGTGCAGCTGCTCGTGACATCGAGTTCGAAGGGGGCCAGCTTCCCGCCTCTTTCATCTTGTGTGGGCATGTGCACCTGACCTCATGTGGGCACTTGGCTCCCACCTGCGAGTCCTCGCGGAGCTTTAAAGAAACAGCTGGCCAGCCGCGGTGGCTCACGCCTGTAATCCCAGCACTCTGGGAGGCTGAGGCGGGAGGATCACTTAAGATCAGGAGTTTGAGACCAGCCTGAGCAAGAGCGAGACCCTGTCTCTACCAAAAATAGAAAAAATTAGCTGGGTGTGGTGGTGCACACCTGTAGTCCCAGCTACTCGGGAGGCCGAGGCAGGAGGATCACTTGAGCCCAGGAGCTGGAGGTTGCGGTTAGCTAGGCTGACATCACGACACTCTGGTAGCCTGGGCAGCAGAGCAAGACTCTGTCTCAAACAAAAAACAGCTGCCCAGATGCTTCGGCCAGATGCACAATGAGACAACACGCTCCAGGGGCCTCGGGGAAATGGAGCTGTGTCACAGCTTGAAACCTCATGTGTAATACTTTGATGATAATTTTTTAAATGCCTCAAAGCATCCACAAAGTACAGGCCACCTAGAATGACTGGCTCTGATCTGTGGGAGGCATCGGGCCTGCCGGTGCTGACTGTTCGGGAGTTTCTGCTGCTTAGTGCTGCCTGTGCCTTTGCTGGACGTGCGGGTGGCACGCAAGGGCCAGAGGCCATGCAGGACCCTTGGCGAGGGGCACGGCTGGGCGGGGGGGGGGGTGTGTCTGAGGCTAGAGGATCCCAGGCTCCCTCCTGGGAGGAAGGCTCTGCTGTCAGAGGAGGGCGGTGCCCCCTTGCGGGGAGGCACCTTCCAGGCTCTGTGTTGGTGACGGGGCCTTCCTTGTTCTTTGCTTCTCAGGGCAGTTGGGTGAGAAGCAGGTTCCGCCTTCAACCTCGGATGATCGGGTAAAAGACGAGTTCAGTGACCTTTCTGAGGGGTGAGAGAAGAGTGGGTTTAAATAGCCTAAAATTTCTGCTTTGAAAACCAAATTCAGCCATCCTGGGGGCTTGCTGCCTGTGCCCCGGTCGGGACACTCCTCAGGCTGGGAGAGAGGAGTGGCCAGGGGAGTTTCCGAGGCTTCTTGTTCTTTCCTAACTGGGGGCTTCTTGGGTACCAGAGGATACCCCCAGAGCTGATGCAGCCACAGAGGAAACAAAATACTGTTTTTTAACCCAGAGCAGCGTAGAAGTTCCTTTGTTCGGCCTGCCCACTGGTGGACCCTTTGCTGCCGCTTGCCGTTTCCGCATCAAAGGCCCTAGTTTCGTGCCAACCTCAGATGTTACTAGAACACAGGAGCCAGATTCTGGCCCTTTCTTATGACGTTATGACTTGAAGCGGAGGCTCTGTGAGGGGGACACACCTGTCGGGGAGGGGTGCCAGCGGAGCCTGTGGGCTCCCAGGGCTGAGGGCCACCGGGGTGGCTGCGTGCTGGCTGGCGTTCACGCCCTTCCACCCCTCCTGCGAG